TAGTTTAGGTAACTTAGTAGATAAACCCAACAAGTAATTTTGTTCCTCGTGTTCGATACCCAACTATTTTTGCTATTCTATTTTCGATTAGGTACACTACCTTAGAGTAATAAGTAGTTTAATTAGTTGGTTAAAACTAGTGCATATTTATTTACATCAAGTCTAAATATAATATAAAAAAATTGGGCCCCTAAAAAGGTTGGGCCATGTGAAAATGTCCACTTTGCCCCCCCCCCCCCTCTAAAAACTAGCCCTGCTTGCTTTACATGTGAATATTGGATAGTGATACTTTGTTTTGTTTACTTTTTTTGTGTAATTTATTTTAGCATATTTAGCCTTTTTTGTTGTTATTGCATTGCATATTCCATCCCTTTTTATCTTATATTATATCAAGTACTTTCTCTTTTCCATAAGGGGTTTTATAGGTTTTTAGAGTCTCGTTGTGGTTTCAGATTAGCTTTTGGTGTGCTTTGTAGGCTTATGAGGAGTTATTGGGCTTTGTGGATCCAATTTGGAAGAATTAGGCTTGATTTATTGAAGACTTGGATGAGATAGACTCTTGAAGATGGGTCATGGACTCTTGAAGATGGTATTGTATCGTATCAAGTACTTTCTCTTTTTTCATAAGGTGTTTTATAGGTTTTTGGAGTCTTGTTGTGGTTGCGGATTAGCTTGTTGCTAGGCTTTGTGGGCTTGTGAGGAGTTATTGGGCTTTGCGGATCTAATTTGGAAGAATTGCGCTTGATTTGTTCAATAATTGGATGAGATGGACTCTTGAAGATGGGTCATGGACCCTTGAAGATGGTCTTGGACTATACATATTGAAGCTTGAATATGGTTGGTTCATTTTGAATCATGTGAGGTGTGAAGGGGACCAAGAGTATCTAAGGTAGTGGGATGCTGTAGTGGAAGAAAGAGGCAATCACATTATTTGCAAGGGTGAGGTCTTCACCTGTGCAACCCTGAGTAGCCACTTGCACAACTACCTTTCTAGGGGTATTTTGGTTATTTGGCTCATTATTTACCTTGGGGGTTAGGTCTTTCAGCAAACACTTTGAATTTTCCACCATTAGAGCATCTTAGAGGCAATTTTGGAGAACTAGAGCTATCATATTCTCCTTCTTCTATTAATTGCTAATTTCTTGATGTTAAAACAATTTTATGATTATTGTCTTGTTACCATGAGTGGCTATTTTTTTTTGGTTGACTTGGGCTAAAACCCTTGGATATTTTTAAGTTTTGAAGGATTCATGTTTGATTGTCATTTATCTCATGTTACTAATTCTTATGTTATAATTCTTATGCTTGTTTGATACTTTGATCATGAGCTTGGTACTTGAATGAGTAATTATTGGTTCTTTTCCTTGATTTAGCAATTAATTATTGAATTTTCTTAAAAATGGATCATGACTCCTTTGTGGAAGAAATCATCTCTAGCTTATGGATCATGACTCATTTGTGGATATGTAAGCATTTACATCCTCTTGAAATTAGGAATATTTTCATTCTTAAGGCTAATCAGTTTTCTTGAGTTCAATTGCTTCAATTGGGTTCTTGATTATGATTAAGAAGGTGTGTTATGGGCTTCATTAACCTTCATATTACTTTTGAGGAATTTTGGCATATCATGCTTCGTGATTACTATAACCAATTTGGGTTTAATGATAAGCTTACATAGTGAATCCTAATGATAAACACACAAATGTTCATTTTATTGAATTGCCTTAGTTGACAAACTTTCTCCAATATTTGAGCATCTTACCATCTTGCTTAATTGCAAGCATTTTAATTCTTCAAGTCATTTAGTTTTCAAACAATTCAACCCCCCCCCCCCTTAATTTAATTGTGGATAGTTAGTTTTATTTCATTTGTTCCATTGGAATGCATTGGTGATTGAATACAACCATTTCCCCATGAATCGATTCCTGTTTTACTATTATATTACGTTTTATTTGCAACCAAATGGATGTAACTTGCTTGGTGGACTTGACATCCCACCAGATAGAATGGGGAAGCAAAGTAGTTATATTGTGCATGCGGCCTCCAAGAATTGTTCTAGTTTATTCTTGAAAGCTTTTAATTGTTTCGGTGCCTCATCAAGTCGAATCGCATATGTCTCAAATTCATTATGGATTGTATTGTAACACCAATACTTTATAGAATCATTAAGATACAATGATTGTATGTTTATCATGGCATCATATTTTGAGACATCCTCGTTTCTCCTTAACGAGGCACTACAACCTTTACGAGCAATCAAGAAACACCTAAGCACCTATCTTCTTTCTTTAAATAAGCAATGTTAACCCTAAGTTTTCTCTCATCTATGCAAATATTGTTTAGGTCCTTAAGACATATTCGTTGGGAATTTTGATAAATCTAGCAAACGTGAAGGTATCACCAAAACGATCCTTCTTCGTGGCGATATAGACATCGACAATACACTCATATTTATTAAATCTGTTCCAAAGATCCGCATCCTTTAGCCTCTATGGAATGTTAGAAACGAAAGAAGTGGTTGCCAATCTACCTAATTGTTCATCATTCTTAACAATCTTTCTTGTAGTCATCGTTGTTTTCCTGTTCTCCCCAACCTTTCCAAGAAACTGTCCGACATCTTTTTGGCTCCTCATATGTTAAATGTATTTTACATAATTAACAAACTAAAATCAAATGTTTAAACAATTTGCTAACTATGAATTTAACATAATTAACTAACTACTTATCATAACGCAAAAACTTGGCGATTTGTGGTGCGCTAGTGGATGTGAGTGAGTGGATACTCCTTCTTATGTTAAACATGAATTCTATACGCATTTTATGGGTCGTTTTGCTTCCCCAAATGCTTTTGGCCTCCTATTATTCATAATTTTTGGAATACGTTATAGGTGGATCAGGTCGAGGTGTTGGAAGGTCCTCTTACTCCTGATGAGATCAAAAGAGTGGTTTGTGATTGTGGTGTTGATGAGTTTGTGGGACTGGACAACTTCTCTTTTGACTTCATTAGACAATTTTTGTATATAATAGAGAAGGAAGTGGCAAATATAGTTATGGAATTTTTTTTATTTATTTGTTTTTTTTATTATTTTTTTTATTATTATTTTTTTTAGTAATTTCCATGTTGCTTGTAGTTATTCCTTTATAGTAGTTTGTTTGCAATAAAATGTGTCCTTTTTAAATGGATTTGGCATTTTTTTACTATGCCTTCGAGGTTGTGGGTTTCTGTGATCAAATCTATGCATTTGTTTTCAAGAGATATTGATGGTGTTGTTCTTTCTAAAATGAGGTATACTTGGGTTGATATTCTTAAAGTTATGAAGGATCTGAATAGATTAGGTGTGACTTTGGTTCACTGCTTGTGCTCTAAGAAAATTGTGATGAAAATACTACATACTTTTTTCTGGGAAGATTCCTGGGGTGGGAGGTTCACCCCTTAAAAAATCAATTCCTTAGAATGTTAAATTTGGAAGCCGATAAACAAATTTTGGTTGAATCAAAATTTGAGCATGAGTCATTGTTATCTTCTTTTAGGTGTCATTTGGGGTGGGTGGGGTTTGAATGTGAGTGTGTGTGTGTGTGTGTGTGTGAGAGAGAGAGAGAGAGAGAGAGAGAGAGAGAGACTTTCAATGTGAGGCATGTTGTCTAGTATTCCTGACATGTGGTTTTGGTCTTTATCAGGTTTGGAGATTTCTCTGTTGCTCTACAAAGGCTTGTATGGATGACAAGATGTTACTATTCTCAAGCTCTCCGACAATGTGGATTCGTTTTGTTGCTATAGAAGTTAATGTTTTTGTTTGGTGCTTGGTCCTTGATCGTCTTCCTACTCAAGTTATCCTTGATAATCAAGGTGTTGATGTGTTGTCTATCTTATGCTCTATTTGTGATGATGTGTTGGAATTAGCTAGTCACTTGTTTTATGGATGCTCTTTGGCTTCTAGTATTCTTTCTCAAGTTACTAGATGCAGGGTATCTCCACTCTTCATCTTTCTTCGTACGATACTTGGAGTGTTTCATGGCGCTCCAGGTGTCGGTTATGGTTAAGGGGTTTTTAGAAGGAATCTTTTATGCTTCTTAACCAAGAGCTTCCTTGCTTTTTGAAAACATTGTTAGGATTTATTTTATTTTATTTATTTATTTATTTTTGGTGTAGTGCTAGATCGAAAAAATAAACATAATAAGCGTTGGGTGGCTCTAAAATCCTAAACTTGTTGTTATGTAATGTTTTCTTTTAATTCGAATTAGTTTCTTGCTAGACTTAATTTTAATAATATCTTGCCATTCGAAAAATAGTATTCATCATGATAATCAAATAACACAAGATAATATGATAAATTAAATCTTCGAAAACTGATTATTAATTATTTTGAAAGTAGTAGTCGTTTTAAACGGGCCTTTTAACACCCCCTTCACGTTGAATGTGCATTAATCGCGATAGAGGTTTTATTACATAACACATGCTTTAATTTTTTGAGACCCACAAACTTTTTTATTTTATAAAAGCATATTCAACGATAGGTTTATATATTAAACCGTCATTTGGAATTGTAAGATTGGAATATTTAATGGTTTTTGGAAATTAAAGTAAATGTTGAGTATCACATTCACATTCCTGTTTTTAAACTATGAGCTAAATAGTGTGTTATTCAAGATTTTGATGAGCTGGGTAAACCGACCGATTTTGAGTATTTTTTATGCTTTTTGTTGTTATTGGTTAAAGAAAAGTTATAAACTAACCGCTGTTTTGTAATTTTTAAATTTGAAGTTGCTCATTTTGGACCCTATCCCGTTATATATGAGTTGGTTAGTATTATTATTTTTATATTAATTATTTTTTAGATAATTTTTTGCCTGGTAGTGTTCGTCGCATGATCTATGTTTATAAAAACGAGTATATATGTCCCAAGAAACATAATATTTGGACAAAATCTACGGTTGTTTCATTATCTAGAACATGAGTTGCCAGAATGGATGACTTATTAGTATAAAAAAAATTAAAAAAAAAAAAAAAAAAAAAGAAACACACACACAATGGATATTTAGGACAACTTGTCAAACTATAAGGTGGCCAAATGAACATCATGGGTCTATAAATTGGTCATTTTACCACATAACACGCACAAGACTAGTATTTTGTCAAAACACCACCACTAATGGATGTAAGTGCAGGGTGTTGTGTACTTGGAGTAGCAACTGTAATTATGTTTTTTATATGGAGAGTTTCAAATTTGTCGTGGTTTGTATCAACCAAGAAGTTAAGGAAGCACTTAAAAGATCAAGGACTCAACAATAGTTCTAACAAATGCATGTCACGAGAGGGAAAAGAGATGGCGCAGACGAAAACCGAAGCCAAAGCAAAACAATTTAGTCTAACTCGAGATATGGCTCCTCGTGTCTCTCCTTTCTTTTATAGATCAATTAATACTCATGGTATGTTATAGTTCTTGTTTATCCAAAAGAAAATTTCTTATTTATGTGAATTTCGATCATCTTTCCGATGTGTCTATTGATAACGACTAAAATTGTCAAAAATTCGAACGCTTGCAACCTTTGATATTGTTTTAATGCAAAACGGGATTAACATTTCAATAAACAAAATATGTAAGCATAGTTAGTATATTTATTAGTTACAAAATTGAAAAGATGTTGATGGAACGCCTTTTGACCTTAATTTAAAGTTTACATATTCAAGCATATTACCAAACTTGTCGATTTTATCACATATGCAACATTCTTAATTACGATGTAAATGTAGGAATTGTATTACAAATTTGATAAACATATCTAAACTAGCCATGATAGAAGAGATCTGGGCCAGATATCATCAATTAATTACAAAACCTAAGAGGGGGAAGGCAAAGTGAATTCGTTAACAAAGATGTTAGAGGAAGAATTCGTTGATGTTGATTAATAGCATGAACATAGAAATATTAACAATCATGCATTTTACCCGTAGAAACTCAATGTTCATTTTCATTGATATATCTTTCTTTACATTAGAATTTCAGGTTGGAGATAAAGTTATGTTAAAGGCCTCTTCATGGAAGGGGATTGTTCGATTTGAAAAGGATGGGAAGTTCAGTCCGCATTTCCTAGGACCATTTACAGTGCTCGAACGTGTAGGATCACAAGCCTACAAATTGGACCTTCCACATGAGATGCATGAGATTCATGACACAATCAATGTGGCTTATCTGTATCCATGCAAGCTAGAGCAACAAAATGTAAATTCATTGTCAGATGTTCAGATAGGCAAGAAGGCTATGTGCATAGAGGAACCTAAACCTAATCTTGATACATTGATTAAAAGACTTCGAAGCAAGCAAAGTTTGCATAATGTAATTCCATTGTCTAATGCACAGATAGATAACAAGACGAGGTACGTAGAGGAACCTCTAGAAGAACCTGAAGCTATACTTGACACAAAACTTATGAGTCTTCGAAATAAGCAAATTTTACTAGTGAAGGTTCAATGGAGGCATCGTCATGGAGTCAATGTTACATGGGAACCTAAAGAGGAGATCCAAAAGAGATACCCTAAGCTGTTTGTATAGCTGATTTCAAGGATAAATTTTTTTTGTAAGAAGGTGAATTAAAGTTTATATTTTGTATAAATATTAACTTTTTTATGTTTTTAGATATTAAATTTAGACAAGTAATAAAGTGATAATTATGTAATACGATGATATTTTCTATTTGGATAAAAGAATAATTTGGAATTGTTTAATTGTATTTAAATAGAACACGAAAAGTGAACTTTTGTGTCTAAGACAACATTTATCGTGTGTTCAGAACCGGGTGTGGGATGGAATGCAGCATATATATTTGGTCACAATTGAAGTGTGTGGACAATTTACTCACACACCAAACGACTTGTCAACGTGCCAATCTAATAGAGGATTGTAAAATTCTTTTTTATTTTTTTATTACATTAATATACTAGGTGTGAGACCCGTATAATACACGGATTGATTTAAAAAAAAAATGTTAAACATTAAATCAAAATGTAAACAATATATATATATATATATATATATATATATATATATATATATATATATATATATATATATATGATTTTAATTTTAAAAATTGAAACAAATTAAAAATTGACAAATGGATAATATTTATTTTAAAAATACTACAAAATGATAAGTGTCAAAATTTATGAGAGATTGTCATGTGACAAAAAAGCTTCATTTATTAAGAAGGATTTGAGATTTGAGATGCTATGAAAGATAAATGATGGAAAATATATTAAAATAATAATAATGATAATACCAATTTTTTTAACTATTCAAACGCTTCTATATAGATTTTAATATCAGCCATACTAGAATTTCCATGTACGACAGACCCTAGTGCTTGATATTATTTTGTAGAATTTCCAAAAATACATTGTTTTAAAATGTAAAAATAAAAGTAGGTTGATGTTTTAGACAAATAACTTAAAGTACATTGTTACTTTTTGCTGGTTAAAAAACCCACATCAATATTAAAACAAACAAATAATGAAATATTTTTGGAGCAAATCACCAAAGGGCTACTAGTCCAAAGTATCTGCTGTTGCCCTCCCTCATTGAGGTTGAGGATTCAAGTCCCGTCGTAGATATAGGTGGATTTAAGGTGTAGTTTATGAGTAAGTTAGATTTACCGTTTCAAAAAAAAAAAAATGTATTACGCCGTTTAAAAAAAAATGTATTATGAATGAATTAATGCGCAATTAAGTCTATGGTCGACCCATCTATGGATTTATGACAAGCTTTCCTGCACCAAGGAACAAATGAAATAAACTAAAAAAGAAAATCCTTCAATTCTCAAAAGTTTTAGGACTATCATCAACCACACAGTTCCTCTCAAAACCTAACTCCAAAAAGTCGACCCATCTATGGATTTATGATATATAGAACAGGAACAAATATTATATTATTAAGAAACTGATTATTATTTACTTTTGAACAATAAAAACATGTAAAGGAAAATGACGCAACGGCCTTAGTATGTATTTTGACTTTGTTCATTTAGTCCTTAAATTTTATTTCGTATCTTTTAAGGGAATAAAATGGTTTTTGTCGGGTCGATTTGGTCATTTTGGACAAAATAAAAGGATAACCCGGTTACCCATTTACCACATATACTTTGACTAATCACTTTTTCTTGTCAAAAATTAACCAAGAAGAGAGAGGATTATGCACTTTCTCCAACCATTTTGATATACGGGTAATATCGTCCATACAATCATGGTGGTAATATCGTCCATACAATCATGGTGGGAATGTCGCAAATATGGTAGTTCTAAGTTCTAATTACCCTAAAGTGAGGTTGATCTTCAACTTCCAAGTGGGCTCGCCTTATTAGTATAATTCACTCAAATAATTTCTGAACACCACTATAGAGCACACAGGAAGCATCACCAAGGTAAATTATCAATAATGCCAACTATTTAGATGTTTGACAATGAGAATAATGACAATTCTATCACATTTCACCAACATGGATTCACTTGTAGAGATTTAAACATTATTGTGCCATCTATCTGTTGAGATGTACATAAAACATAGAAATGGAAAAAGCAAACAAAAAATTCAATAATGAAAAGATATTTATATCAGAAATTAGTCGGTATTTCCGATCAATGTTCTTTCTCTACTTTGGACTTCAACTCATCAAATAGACTTTGATCTCTATAACAACACTATCGTTAAACAAAAGATTAAACAAATCCTAAATTTCATTCTTAAAGTTATACATATCAAGCACCAACCATAGGTTACCATTGTACAAAATTACTTACACCATTGCATTTCAAAAAGTTATGATGTTCTTAAATCCTAAAAATTGAACATTCTGGTTTAATCTATATGTAGATTTTAATTCATTACTTGTTAACGTTCCATATGATTTTATCTTTTATTCACATGAGCATTCTCAATTTATAATTTTTCTTCCGATAATTGTTGATCAACTCTTGAATACAAATGTTGTTTCTATATAAACATAAGTGGAACTATGTCAAAACAATAAAAATTCAACATTAGAGGTCCAAGAAGCCCATGTTAAAACACACATGCTCACAATTCATCATAACCATTTCAATCAAAATTGAAATTAATCTAAAAGACGAAAGTAAAGAATTGAGAAAAAAGAAGAGGCAAATTGAAAAGGGAAAATGAAACTGTAGCCCTATAATGTTTTGTACATTTGCCAATCAGTTTCTAAAGTGTTTTTCGTGATTTATTAGGGAAGAAACTTGTATGTGACATGTCCATTTAGTCAGTTGGACCCAATTTAACTGGTTACTAGCTCCACGTATTTAGATTAATCCACATCAGTGTCTACGTGGAACAAATGGCGCCATTTTAATTAATGAGTCTCATTGTCCAAGGTTTGAACTTTTCATTACCTGTGTACCTTTATAAAACTTGTTCGTGCCCTAGAAGGATCATCCGTAAAAATCTTGTGCCCTAATTACCCACAAAAGTTCCTACCATAACTACGAAGAAAATGCTTGTTATCAACTCCCCCCCCCCCCCGGCTACCTCGTTGCAAATGTATCAAACAGAGCCCCACCTGAAGACATCTCAATAACACTACTTCAAATGCAGATATAAGTCTCTATGATACGGGACAAAGTGAATGAGGGCATGCTTCAACTTAGTGATTCCTTACGTCGCGAGATGGGTGAGGTGAATCATGAAGTGGACGATGTGAGGGCAGGGCAGCTAGATATGTCCCGCATGATAAACAACCTCAAGTACCATTTTCTTTCTTGGTAGTCGGCTTATGTGAAGGAAACCACCAAGTTAATTGTAACACCCCGTTCTTCAAGTGTTTAATTATGAGTCCCTGAGATTTAAGAGGGAAGGTAATTCTGGTCCTTTTCGAGAAATGAGTTTCATCCGAGAAGGTTTCGGGCGGGTGTATGTGTTAGAAGTATTGGGCTTCACGTCACCCTCGTATGAATGTAAGTTATGAGAGTGGGTTTAGATTAGAGGAGTTGTGGTGCCTCGAAGTTGATCATTGTTTATAGTTCTTTGTGGAATAAGAAGGAGATGGTCCCATGCATGCATGGCATGCTTGCATGCTTTTGATCTTGAAGTCTGGCTGGGTACGCCCAGCGTAAGTGGGTGACTGATACGAGTCGGCCGGGTGAGTACGCCCAACGTACCAGGGAGGTACGCCCAGCATACTCTCAGAAACCCCAAACCCTATTTTTAGGGTCAGCCACTATATAAGGAACATGTTGGTTCACCCCTCAGCCTCCTTATGCTTATCTTCCACCTCAGAGAAACCCTAGATCTCGTATTCCCTCCATATTTGAGTGTGTTTGACCTTGGAAAGCTCTTGTTGGCAAAAGAAAGGCTTGCATGAGAAAAAGGGAAGTTGTCAAAGAAGAAGAAGAACGTGTGGAGCTTGTAGATCTGATGAAATACCACCCTTTGGAGCTGGTTTAAGGTATAAAGTTTCTTGCTTGACCTTCATATTGCATAGATCTATGTATTTTGAAGCTTTGTTATCATTCTTGTCCCAAAAGTCCTCTTCTTGTTGCATAGTTCGATTTGGTCAAGATTATCTGTCCTTTCAAACCTTTGGAGAGGTCTTGAGTGATAAAAATAAGGTCCCAAGGGATGTAGTTGTTCCATGTATGAGATATATAGGTCTTAATGGATTAAGACCTTGGATTAAGAGCTTAAGGACGTCCCAAGTGATAAAGTCTGATACTTTATGATTTCTAATCATATTTGGCTTATGGATCTGAAGTTTGGGCTTAAGAGCTTAAGCCATTAAGATGTTGAAAGGACTTAATGGATCTCGCAGTTACACCCCGCATAACCTTCGAGTACGCCCCGCGTAGTGGGCCAGTGCCCCGTTTTATTTTGGTGATCATTGCGGTACGCCCAGTGTACCAAGGAGAGTACGGCCAACGTACTCCTCCTGTGGACTTTCTTTTGGGCTTTTGTGTTGGGCCATTTGTGGGTTGTTGGTGTTTGGGCCAAGTCTGGAAATTATGAATAGAGTATTTTGGGCCCAATTAATATTATGGATATTGGATCTAGGCCCATTTGGTGAGGTGGGCCCAATTTGGTAAATTGGGCCAATGTTGGACTTTGTGTGAGATTTGGACTTTCGTCTTGGTTCGATAAGTGGAAGTATGTTTGACCTAATGCTTATGCTTGTTATGTTGGTTAGTTCGGGATTTGCAGTGAGTTGGTGGTTCCAGAGTCTGCTTCTTCCGTTCAGAGTATCGGCATTCGCAAGGTGAGTTATCCTCACTATATCGACAGGGTCTAAGGCACCAAGGCCGACTCTTTATTGGATGAGAGTTAGATACTGTTGTTATTGCTTTGATATGTCTGCTTCCTGGCAGCTAGGATGGTATATCCTAGAGACCTAATTAAGGTCAGTTTCCCGATATGTAGAGTGATGCTATGCTAGTGACTGGTTAGGTCGGTAACCTGGTTAGGGAACGATATGTTATGTGATCTGCTTGATCGGTTTGTTGACTATGACTGTTATGTGATTGTATGTTATGTGCACATTGTTGTTTGGACTGGAGA